TCTTTTGTAAAAATCCACATACTATCTATAAACCTTGTGGGATGTTCACCCTTCATCAAGTTCCATTGTGGTGAATTATCAGGACCTATTTTCCTTAGACTTTCAGCCTGATTTTTGTGTTTGTATCAAGCAGTGAGACTGAGATGACATCCTGTGGGACACGGGGTGTTACCCAGCCCTCAGTGACACGGGGAAGAATCAGGTGCTGAGCTGACTGGTTTGAGTGGAGCCCTCATTATTTTATTCCATTTGAGTACTTCCTGTGTACAAGGCACATTTTCATTTCTTCCTCAGAGTAACCCAGCAAATCAGGTGCTATAATCCCCATCCTAGAGATGAAACCAAGGCCAGAGAGGTTAAATAACACATCTGGGTTCATATAGCCTAACTTTAAAGGCCCTATTATTTCTTCTGAATTGTCTTTCTCTAATAATTTTAATTATTACATACTTTTACTTATTAAAAAGGGATAGATGGTCCTTAGGAATGGTTTGTGTTGTAAAATTTCTTTGTAGGCACCCTCTTTGGATCAAAAATGTATTCTCTTCAGAAGTTTTCTGTCACTTTTTTCTAAGTTTGAGTTTACTTGCCCAGGGTCACACATGAAAGAATGCTCTTCATCTTCTAGGATTGCACCTTCTAGTGAAGAACAGGCTGCAAACAAGGGACAAATGATACATTATGTGAACCTAACTTGGCTTCCCAAAGTTGCAGAACTAGGAGAGAGTAGAGGCTGTGCCCTGTGTGGAGCCTCTCCTGCCGTCATTTCTGCCCCTCAGCTCTGGTAAGTGGGGCAGCCCAGATAAGGAAGGAGAAGGAAGGGGCCCCTTCTGCCTGCTGATACTGAGCCTCTGCCTTCAAGAGCCTGGCCCCTCTCCCAGCCCGGCCCCTCACTCCCCAAAACTCCTTACCATCCAGGCCTTCATCCTCATTCACTTGCGGGCTCCCCTTCCTTGCCTGAGCTCTTTCCCACCCTGTTGCAGAAATACCCTTTATACCAAATACAGTGCTAATTCTGAAATTTTGTAAATTCATATCCCTTCTAACAGAGTTGTGGGGGTGGGGGAGGCCCTAAAAATAGTAGTATGTGTGAATTCATATATTTTTTAAGGGTAAATATAACCTGAGACAAAGGATTCACAGTTAACAGTAAGAAATAGTATTTGGCCTTAACATATACATTAATTCTAGAAGCTGCCCTACCTAGGGAGCTTGAGATACATTTCAGTTTCTGGAATAATGCACACCACATTGGCAGTGGCTGGTGGCCTCTGGGGATGGGAATAGGGATGGGAGAGGACAGGCTGGGAACTTGGATACACTTCAGTTCTGTTTTGGGGTTTTTGTCTAAATCAGATAATGTGTCACTTTTGTAATTAAAAAGGACAAATGTGGTATGGGTCAGTTGCCCCAAGAACACACAAATTACACCATTGTACCCTGTACCAATTCACAGCCACCAGAAATTGCACCCTCCTACTCTCCAGTGCTGCACTGGCAGCAGGCCAGAGCCTACGTGGGAGGGAAGCCGAATGGACATGGAGTAAGTCACCAGGGAGCGCCTGCTGGGAAAGCCTCACTCCCCACCGAGCCCACAGCTACACTTCTCACCTGCAGCGTGTGCTTGCTCTTGGGTCGTCTGTCTGAACGACTAGCCTGGGGGTGCTACTCTCCCATCTTCAACACCTCCCAGAATTTAGTAAAAATCTCCCTAAAAATATATTGAATAAGTCCATGAACAAACATGGCCAGTCCTCATTATCATGATTTGTTCTCTTTCTCCCCACCCCATCCCCACCTCTCCCACCAGCAGTAGAGTGGGTGGGCCGGGAAGGCAGTGAACGGGAGAGGATAGAAGAGAAGGGCAGAGCAATGGGGAAAGAACCCTCTGCAATTTCAGAATTCTGTTTCTGTTAACTATTATGCACTTGAAGAAACTCGCTAAAATGGGGTTATAAATTATGGGTGTTCCAAATTTAATAAGCAAAAGAAGAGTAGATTTTTCTTTAATGATATAAACTGTGATTATGTAGCTCACTTAGAACCTAGTACTTAAAATCTTATTGCAATTGCTTTGTAAACTTCAGTGTATATAGGTGTGTACCTTGTTTTGAAAATATAGAATATAGTAATAGTTAATGTGTAAAATTACAAAACAGATTGAGTGGCACCTAGTTATGAAGGATTTTTTCCTAACTAAAGGAAGGGGAAGGTGCCTGCTGAAGTCCCTTGATTCCACGGAGCAGTATGTCAGAGCTCTGAAGCAGGACCCTTCATGGGTGCTGTTGCTCTGCTTTAAGTCTGCACAGTGTGACGTCAGGAAAATAATTGCTTGGTTTCAGCAGAGCTCACCTTGGAAGACAAATAATACAGCTGGCCTGGGCATGGATGGGCATGTAGCTGTCCACTTTTCCCAACACCAATTATTGAAGAGACTGTCTTTTCCCCATTGTATATTTCCATTGCATTGTATATTCCCATCGTATATTAATTATTAATTGACCATGTATGCAAGGGCTTATATCTGGGCTCTCTGTTCTGTACGCTGAGTCCAGAAGGCCTTTAAGCTGTAAGAATTCCTGGTCAGGGTGAGGAGCCTGGCCAAGGGCAGACTGGGCACCAGGCTTGGTTCCTCATGTCCAGATCAAACCACCTGGTGGAAACTCCTCACACTTAATATATATTATCAGATTTCAACCCCTCACATTCTGTCCCAAACATGAATAGCCTCAACAGTCTGCCCAAGCCAGATTCCTGGGTGGTGTTCTCAGATCATCCCTTTCCCACCCTAACCAATGATTCACTTGTTAATCTGACAATCTGTCCTAACAGGCCTCCTGTCCTGGAGCTCTTAGGATCAACCAAAATCCTTAATGTGTATTAGTCAGATGTCGATTCAGCTTCAAGGGAGAGAAAACCCCAAACACAAATGGCTTAATCAAGATAGATGACTGCAGATAGGCATTCCAGAACTGGTACCGGCTTCACAAATTTGTCAGAGGCCACATCCTTTCTACCCTGCTGGCCTGCCGTCTTTGGCATACAGCTGCCACCTCGTGATCCAAGACGGCTGCTTGAATCTCCCAGCCAGCAGAGGGCAGGACAGGTGAAGCTAAACACTTCATTCCTGAGAGGTCTAAAGCCTGCACTTGGAAGCCACAAGAACTCAGCCAAGGTCTTAGTGACTTTGGGCAAGTTACTTAATCCCTCTCAACTGAGTCTCACTAGGATGGGTACAGTAGTAGCTTCAGCTTCATACGCTTGTTATTAATAAGAGTAGAAGAGATAATCATTGAAAATATAGAATATAGTAATAGTTAATGTGTAAAATTACAAAACAGATTGAGTGGCACCTAGTTATGAAGGATTTTTTCCTAACTAAAGGAAGGGGAAGGTGCCTGCTGAAGTCCCTTGATTCCACGGAGCAGTATGTCAGAGCTCTGAAGCAGGACCCTTCATGGGTGCTGTTGCTCTGCTTTAAGTCTGCACAGTGTGACGTCAGGAAAATAATTGCTTGGTTTCAGCAGAGCTCACCTTGGAAGACAAATAATACAGCTGGCCTGGGCATGGATGGGCACGTAGCTGTCCACTTTTCCCAACACCAATTATTGAAGAGACTGTCTTTTCCCCATTGTATATTTCCATTGCATTGTATATTCCCATCGTATATTAATTATTAATTGACCATGTATGCAAGGGCTTATATCTGGGCTCTCTGTTCTGTACGCTGAGTCCAGAAGGCCTTTAAGCTGTAAGAATTCCTGGTCAGGGTGAGGAGCCTGGCCAAGGGCAGACTGGGCACCAGGCTTGGTTCCTCATGTCCAGATCAAACCACCTGGTGGAAACTCCTCACACTTAATATATATTATCAGATTTCAACCCCTCACATTCTGTCCCAAACATGAATAGCCTCAACAGTCTGCCCAAGCCAGATTCCTGGGTGGTGTTCTCAGATCATCCCTTTCCCACCCTAACCAATGATTCACTTGTTAATCTGACAATCTGTCCTAACAGGCCTCCTGTCCTGGAGCTCTTAGGATCAACCAAAATCCTTAATGTGTATTAGTCAGATGTCGATTCAGCTTCAAGGGAGAGAAAACCCCAAACACAAATGGCTTAATCAAGATAGATGACTGCAGATAGGCATTCCAGAACTGGTACCGGCTTCACAAATTTGTCAGAGGCCACATCCTTTCTACCCTGCTGGCCTGCCGTCTTTGGCATACAGCTGCCACCTCGTGATCCAAGACGGCTGCTTGAATCTCCCAGCCAGCAGAGGGCAGGACAGGTGAAGCTAAACACTTCATTCCTGAGAGGTCTAAAGCCTGCACTTGGAAGCCACAAGAACTCAGCCAAGGTCTTAGTGACTTTGGGCAAGTTACTTAATCCCTCTCAACTGAGTCTCACTAGGATGGGTACAGTAGTAGCTTCAGCTTCATACGCTTGTTATTAATAAGAGTAGAAGAGATAATCCATATAAAGCCTCGTACCTGGCACTTAAGGGCTCAGTAAATGTAGTGGCAATTGCTACTATTCCTCTTAAATTTGTTAACCTGTCAGTTCCATCAGAGTGACCCTGAGGAGAGGAGCAAAGGAACCATGGCCTTCGGGCCTCTCACGCCTCTGCAGATGCGCCCGCTGTGGGCCTAAGGATGTGCCCTGTGGCTACCGCCATCCTGCCGCAGCACCATCTCGGCCTTTGCAGCTTCAGTGGCTGTGCTTGGTCTGGAGCTAGAAAAGACATCTGCCTCACATCCGCTACCCAGTCACCCCTTAGCAGCCGCTTCCTGTTGCCCCCGTGGGTCACCACACGCCCTCTGTCAGGTCCCTACCTAGATCTGGAGGGCACTGCTGTGCTCTGTAAACGGTTCGCCACCCCGTGTGCCTCTGCTGAGGGAGGAGCGAGGTGGGAGGGTCCATGCAGCCAGTTCCAACCCTTCCCTTAGCCTCCCGAAGCACCGCACCAGGAGCTAAGCCTACTACCCGGAATCACCAAGGGGGGAGGGTAGTTGAAAAGAATTAGAAAATTTTTTATTTGTCTGTTAAATATTATGCCTCCCAGAACAAAGGAAAATGAACTGTTCTCAAGAACAACCCATTCCCTGGCCTTGCTCCTATTTCAGGACCCTCACTTTCCCTAGGAGGCACGATCTCTTCAGTCTGTCTTTGTTGGGGTTCCTTGGAAGATGCTGGCAGTACCCTCAAACATACCTGGGTAGAGTTTAACACAAAGACTATTTTCAAATGTGCATTTGTGGTGAGGGAAAGCAGGGAGGGAGAGTGAGGACTTCTGGGGCTAGAGGAGCATAACCGCCCCTGAAGGGTTCCGAAGGGGGAAGTTACTGGGATCCAGAGGAGGAGCTCTGCGGAGACGGCCTGGAGCACAGGAGACAGCCAGCCACCCGAGGGGACAGCCTCACCCTGGTCTGCCAGGGCCTCTCGGGGGGTCCTGCTGGAAGCCGACCAGGGCGCTCTCTTGACCACATCCACCGAGGTCAGCCTGAGGGAGCAGAGCAGGGTGGGAGAGAGAGGACAGTGGACTGTAAATGGAAACTACCCAGCATAAATCCTCTAGTCTTCAAAATTGCCACACCCACCTCTTAGGAAAACCAGCCCCTTCTACTGAGAAGGACTAACTTCACCAAGGAAGCAGTCTTCAATAGTCTGCAGTGACCACCAGCAGTGATTCTCCCAAAGTCTGAGTTCCTCTGTCAAGAATAACACTGAGGGGTAGAGGGCTTGAAGGTGGACTTTGGCCAATCCACAGGGCTGGAAGACTTGGATGTTTCAGAGACCGGCCCCTTCTGAGGTTTTCCTGCCCATGGGAGGCAAAGATGTGCCTTCTCTCTTTGGTCTGGGGGCTGACCACTTGGGTTACTTTGCCAGGGCTGCTGTAACAAAGTACCACAGGTGGCTTAAACAACAGAAATTTATTTTCTCAGTAGTTCTGGAGGCTAGAAGTTCAAGAGCAAGCTGTTAGCAGGACTAGTTCCTTCTGAGGGCCAAGAGGGAAGGCTCTTTCCAGGCCTCTCTCTTTGGCTTCTGGATGGTCTTGTCCCTGTGTCTCTTCCTACTGCTTAACCTCTGTACACATCTGCATCTGAATTTCCTTTTATTTCCTACAAAGACACCAGTGATACTGGATTTAGGCCCACCCTAAAGAACTCAATTTAATTACCTCTTCAGTCATTGGTCTGCTCATGACCCTTGAAGTGATGCTTTACTTTAGGCCAAATAAAGTTTAGGGCAGGGCTTCTAGCCCTCCCCCTGTCCAGAGCAAATACCCAGGCGTGAATATAGTTTCGTCTAGGTTTTAGGATTACGGGTAACATTTGCTGTCTTTATTCCTTTTCAAATATTTATTGAATATTAGGCATTAGGTACTGGGTAGGCTTTAGGGAGGTCAGTGGGAACAAGACAGGGTCCCTTCTGTGTCAAATTGGGGGTTACAGCCAAGGAATGAGGCAATGTGCCAGTCATTGTGACAGCAGCAAAGCCCTATCTGGGCTCACATGCTGCCCCAGGCCTGCTGTTGAGCATGGCCAGCAACACAGATTTTTCTCTTCCTCCAAGGGGATTTTCTCTGCCTGTCAGTGATTTCCCCATGACCCACACTGCAGGGTGCTGTGGACACTGTCTCCTCTGTCCGGGTGCATTTGGGTCTCTGTCACCCTGTCTGTGCGCCCATTGGCATGCTTGGCTGCTCAAGCCACTTGGCAGAGGGAGGTGCAGAGAGCCAGAAGGGTCTGGGGCTTACTCCTGCCCCTGCCCCTGCGCCCGAGCAGGCCTTAGCCAGTGCTGGAGGGATGCTGGTGCAGGGGTGTGACAGCCCAGAGGACAGACAAACTCGGAAAAGAATTTACAGTCAAACCTCATTGTTCATGGATTCTGCATTGCAAAATCACCTCTGCACTAAAATTTACTTGTAACCCCCAAATCCATGTATGTGGTGCTTTCATGGTCATTCATGGACATGCATAAGATCAGGCCACACACTGCCTCCTGTTTCAGCTCTCATACTGTAAAAAAGTGTTCTTTTTGAGGTCTCTTCAATGCCACATTTTTCACATTTTTGTTGGTGTGATTTTGCTATTTAAATGACCCCAAGCATCGTGCTGAAGGGCTATGTTCCTAAGCACAAGAAGGCTGTGATGTGTCCTATGGAGAAAATACATGTGTTAGAGATGCTTCATTCAGGCTGTAGTGCTGTTGGCTGAGTTCAGTGTTAATGAATCAATAATATACACTAAATAAGGTGTCTTTAAACAGGGACTCACATAAAACAAGGTTGTGCATTGATCAGTTGCCACAAATACGACCAGAGGCTCCTGGGAACCTAACCCTGTATTTCCCATGGGATCAATGATTCCATCCATATTCCCTAATTCAGTGTTGGTGATGATTTTATAGAACAAAACCACCATGAATAATGAGAATCCACTGGACGTTCCAGACTCCCCTGTGTGTTCAGGCCAAGGCTGGCTTCTCCCCAGTACTCCTCTGGCATTTCCCACTCCTTTGCCAGGTTCTCCTGGGAGCACTTTCTTAATAAATGACTTGTATGAGATTCAACATCTCAGAGTCTGATTCTGAGAAACAGGGCTTGGAACAGGGGTAGCACTCTTGTCTCCTTGCTCCCAGGCAGTTCCTTAGTCCCTGGGAAATCTGTTCTTCCCTCCTTCCCCAACACCAACTCTGTGTAATGCAAGGTATTGGGAGGGTAGGGTGGTCAAGCCACAAATAACAGGGCCTGCTTATGCAGTTGCTCAGACAGTGGACCCCCACACTTCCCATATATCACACAGGATTGTTCCCAGAGCAAATGAGGTGTGCCCATGGTGACTGGCATGCCCCATAAACAGTACAGGGACATTTTAAATTAACAGGTTCACTCCCTATATAAGGATTAATATCATCATACATGACCTGTACTGTGGTTCAAGGCTCTACTTTCTAATCACTGTCTACTGTCCTCTTTTACTTTCTTTCTTCATTGATTTTTTTAAAAATTTTTTATTAAGGTATTATTGATATACACTCTTATGGAGGTTTCACATGAAAAAACAATGTGACTTCATTGTTATTTATGTAATGTGTTTATTGTCTGTCTGTATTATGTGTTAAGTACTACCCACACCTGCCCTGTTCTTAATCTCTGTGACAATTTTTTGGTCTAAGACTGCCAATCCCTGAAGTTTGCACCATCTTTTACGTTCTCTTCACTCTTGCTTTCCATCCATACCCAGGCTGGTTTCCATGATCTATGAAGACACTTTCTCCTTTGCAAAGGCTCTCAAAACCTTGCCCCTCATCTCCCTCCATCCTACTCACAAGGCAAAACCCCAGTCCAAGTTGAACCCAACCTCTGTAACTCAGAAGCAACTAATCTCTGTTGGAAAAAAACCAATCACATAACCAGGTTGGCTGGTTTAAGTTCAAATTTATGATCCTCAAACTTAAAATGGACTTACTATTGTTCGGCAACCATATTTTCCTGATAAACTTGCTCTTCCATCCTCTGAAACAACAAGATAGGAGTCTCGGTCATGTCTTCTTCCCCAGCCCCCACTCCAGCCTCACGTTCAGCTGATCATCTTCCACATCTTACTGGGAAAATAGAATCCTGAACTAGTTTCCTAGGGCTGTTGTAACAAATTACCACAAACCGGGGTTAAAACAACAGAAATCTAGTCTCTCACAGTTCTGGAGGCTAGAAATCCAAAATCACGATATCGGCAGTGCCATGCTTCCCCTGAAGGCTCCAGGGAAGAATCCGCTTTTGCCTCTTCCCAGCTTCTGGTGACTGCTGGTAATCCTTAGCGTTCCTGGATGTGTGCACATCATTCCAGTCTTTCCCTAGTTGTCATAGGCTTTCCCCCTGTGTGTCCATGTCTCTCTGTTCAAAGTTCCCTATTATAAAGGCCCCAGTCATTGGTTAGGGTCTACCCTAGTCCAGGCTGGCCTCACTTTAATTTGATTACATCTGCAAAGACTATTTCCAAATAAGGTCACGGTTATAGTTTCTGGGTGGACATGAATTTGGGAGAGACACTCTTCAACTAAGTACAAAGGCTGCCCTCACCTTCTCACGAGGCTAGATCCAAACCCACCCTTCCTGTCTTTCCTCCTATTGTGGAAGAATGTCCCTACCAAACAAAACCCCCCCATTTCTGTGCAGTCTGCTCCCCTTTTGTTGCTGCAAGTTACTCCTTCACCTGACATCAACAATCACCCCACTGGACCATTTACATCAAAATAAAACTATGCATTAGCTATGAATATCTTAAAAGACAAACAAAAAGCTTTCTTGACCCCATACCCCCTTCTAGTAAAGTCAGTTGTTTCCACCACCTCCCTTACTTTCCTTTGCAGCAGCACTTCCTACAAGTATTAACTCCATCAGCTGCTTTCACATCCTCACATCCCACTCCAGTCTTTGTTCCTACCATTTTCTTGACAGGTGGCCTCCGCTGTGTGGACATCTTTTGTTCCCGGCCTCCTGAGGACTTGTAGAGTACCTCAGTGGGCTTCCTTTCAGTTGGCCTTAGGATGGTTTTGGCCAGTAGGGAGCTCTAGAGGATCAGAGAGAGAGGAATGGGACATTTGGGAGCTTATTCCTTTGGTTTCCTTTCTTTCAGGCTGACTATGTATCTTGACTGAAGGTCACTGTTCCTCTCAAGGTGTAAGGAATTAGATGTCTTAATTCTTCTGTGATCTAGTAATTGCTCCCTCCTTTCATCCTTACAGGTCTTTGAATGGTAACTCTATTGTTACTGGGCCCAGATTACTGCATTATTCCTGATGATTTTCTTCAACTCTGCCCATACCTTTGTAAATAGTCACTCTACTAAATCCTTCTCGTATTTTCCTAATTTGAGTGTTGCCTACTGGGGTCCTGACTCATCTCCACATCACTGAATCCCTTGGTCACCTCTTGGTGGACTCCAGTAAACCATGCCTTCTGGGATTCCTTTGTTTAGTTCCCTAACCACGTTGACCCTCGGATAGGTTGTATGACTTTTTCAGCTAACGGAATATTTGCAAGCATGATGTAAGCCGGGACTTGGTAAGTGCTTACACACTGGGGCTTGTGCTCCTGGAAAATGTCCTCTTGGAGCATCTTTCTACCAGTTGAGCTCCCAGCTGAACTGCAGCCACACGAGTGACTTCAGTTATACTGTATGGAGCAGAAGAAATACCCAACTGAGCACAGTCAATTCACAGAATCATGAAAAATAAATCATTGATTTTAGCCACTAAGTTTTGGGGTGGTTTGTTGTACAGCCATAGATAAAACATTTCTCTTTCAGTCACTTGACAGCACTCAATGTAGTTGACCATCCCTCCTTGAAATATTTGAATTCGTTCTGGTTTTCCTCCTACCTAACTGGCTGCTCCTGCTCAGCCTTGTTAGCTCAGTCAGCCTCCTCTAGCAAAGGAGCAGATCCTTGGCATTCTTCTCTTCTCAATTACATTCTCTTACTGGGTATCTCATCCAGTCCTATGGGTTTAAAAACCATCTTTATGTTCACAACTCTAGGACTGACTTCACAGATCCAGTGCAGATTGGACATTTCCACTTGGATGATATCCTCTGACTCTTCTTTCTCAAAACCCTTCATAATCTGTGTTTTAACAGGGACCCTAGGATTTGTTTTAATCAAGTATGGTGAGACATGCAAACATGGAAATGATTGTTATGAAGGAAGATATTTTTATACTCACAGATCTCTAGAAACCGGAGGGCTATGCACCATGCAGGGCAACACAGGGAGTCATCAACATAGGCCAGGAGACAGAGGGAGCTAGGGGAAAATGTGAACAAAAGCTTTACTGTGATTTCCAAGAGAAGTTACAGGTGAGGCATGTGTGTGGCCTTCCAGATTCCTAGAAATATCTTAGAGCTTTTCAAAGTCCCAGTGGACATCTCATTTCTTCGGTTTTTTCTTTTAAACTTGTTGGTTAGTTTATTGTTTGCCCCAACTGTTATCCATTGCCTCAGCTAGTCAAGACGTTAAAACATTCAATAAACAATCTCTGGGGAGAAGCCATTAGGCTTGGGCTAGCTCCAGTGAGGTTGAATAAATACAAGCCTTCCCAGGAGAGTCTTCCAGGGAACCACCAGGTCAAATAATGACTTTTTGGGGGCTGAGGCTTTCAAAGAGATCCAGCCCTGTTCTGCTATCTCTGGTACAGGTACCTGGAATGTGAGCTGTTGGTTTTCCAGGCTGCCATGGAGCTGAAGAGAAAGAAATAGTGAGGTAGGGCAGGGACATGGGACAAGCATCCTAGGATGAAAATGCCAAGATATAATAATATAGTAAGAATGGGAAGGTCTCCATCTTAAGACTAAAACAATTCCATCCTAAAAACCAGGGAGTTAAGGGGTAAGATTTCTAACATACTCTTTGGTACTCAGCCAATAACTGACCCTATTTTAGGGCAGAGTGAGCAGTCCTAACTGATAACGTTTCCAGTGCTTGAGGGTAACCACCATCTTGGAGAAGAACAGGATCAAGAAAAGTAAACCATGCCTTCTGGGATTCCTTTGTTTAGTTCCCTAACCACGTTGACCCTCGGATAGGTTGTATGACTTTTTCAGCTAACGGAATATTTGCAAGCATGATGTAAGCCGGGACTTGGTAAGTGCTTACACACTGGGGCTTGTGCTCCTGGAAAATGTCCTCTTGGAGCATCTTTCTACCAGTTGAGCTCCCAGCTGAACTGCAGCCACACGAGTGACTTCAGTTATACTGTATGGAGCAGAAGAAATACCCAACTGAGCACAGTCAATTCACAGAATCATGAAAAATAAATCATTGATTTTAGCCACTAAGTTTTGGGGTGGTTTGTTGTACAGCCATAGATAAAACATTTCTCTTTCAGTCACTTGACAGCACTCAATGTAGTTGACCATCCCTCCTTGAAATATTTGAATTCGTTCTGGTTTTCCTCCTACCTAACTGGCTGCTCCTGCTCAGCCTTGTTAGCTCAGTCAGCCTCCTCTAGCAAAGGAGCAGATCCTTGGCATTCTTCTCTTCTCAATTACATTCTCTTACTGGGTATCTCATCCAGTCCTATGGGTTTAAAAACCATCTTTATGTTCACAACTCTAGGACTGACTTCACAGATCCAGTGCAGATTGGACATTTCCACTTGGATGATATCCTCTGACTCTTCTTTCTCAAAACCCTTCATAATCTGTGTTTTAACAGGGACCCTAGGATTTGTTTTAATCAAGTATGGTGAGACATGCAAACATGGAAATGATTGTTATGAAGGAAGATATTTTTATACTCACAGATCTCTAGAAACCGGAGGGCTATGCACCATGCAGGGCAACACAGGGAGTCATCAACATAGGCCAGGAGACAGAGGGAGCTAGGGGAAAATGTGAACAAAAGCTTTACTGTGATTTCCAAGAGAAGTTACAGGTGAGGCATGTGTGTGGCCTTCCAGATTCCTAGAAATATCTTAGAGCTTTTCAAAGTCCCAGTGGACATCTCATTTCTTCGGTTTTTTCTTTTAAACTTGTTGGTTAGTTTATTGTTTGCCCCAACTGTTATCCATTGCCTCAGCTAGTCAAGACGTTAAAACATTCAATAAACAATCTCTGGGGAGAAGCCATTAGGCTTGGGCTAGCTCCAGTGAGGTTGAATAAATACAAGCCTTCCCAGGAGAGTCTTCCAGGGAACCACCAGGTCAAATAATGACTTTTTGGGGGCTGAGGCTTTCAAAGAGATCCAGCCCTGTTCTGCTATCTCTGGTACAGGTACCTGGAATGTGAGCTGTTGGTTTTCCAGGCTGCCATGGAGCTGAAGAGAAAGAAATAGTGAGGTAGGGCAGGGACATGGGACAAGCATCCTAGGATGAAAATGCCAAGATATAATAATATAGTAAGAATGGGAAGGTCTCCATCTTAAGACTAAAACAGTTCCATCCTAAAAACCAGGGAGTTAAGGGGTAAGATTTCTAACATACTCTTTGGTACTCAGCCAATAACTGACCCTATTTTAGGGCAGAGTGAGCAGTCCTAACTGATAACGTTTCCAGTGCTTGAGGGTAACCACCATCTTGGAGAAGAACAGGATCAAGAAATTCCTTGTATTAAGTTTATTTAACAGACGTATCTAGAGGACTGACTGTGGATGGTAACATAATGTCTCTCACTGGAGACAGACATCATGAGACCACATGTCAAGCCTATGCCAGCCACCCACCTGCATCCCCCACCCTTTGCCCCATTCCTGAAAGCCTTCAGACTGAATCCAAAGCCTTTGAGTGTGCCTCCTCTGAGGTTGCCCTCACTCCCCTTTCCCTTTCTTCAAGTGTGTATTTTTGCCTTAAAGACTTCTCACTGCTCAACTTCTTACTGCGTTTTTGTCTCCTTGCTCTTTCAGTGGTAAGTGTCTTTGTTGCTTTGCTGTTTCACTCAATTTTCTAGACTTAAGCACAAGTCTTCATTCTCTCTGTCCTACTTCAGGCAAGTAGGGAGGGGCTACTGAGATCTCTGATTTGGGCTTGCAAGTTCCCATCACCTGAGTGATCTGGACAGGACTGCAGTTGTACGATCATGTTCTTTAGTGGCCTTCCTGAAAATCTCCTTTCTTTGCCTTGGGGAAGTTCTTAACATAAACTCACTCCATCTGGTGCTCTGTAGCTCCTCCAAATCCTCGGGTGGTTGGGGCTCAGTTCCCACGCTATGCAGATCCAAGTGGACACTGGACGCCAGGTGACCCTGGCTTCAGGAGTTGGCAAGAGGATCTGCCCTATACCAAGAAGTTCAGTGAGCTTCCCTTTCCTCCATTTGTTTCCCTTGCTTTCTGCTGCCTGCAAGGGAGCTGCCACTCCCTGCTACTCTCCCTTTAACAAATTCCTTCCTTACCTACACTCATCTGACCTGTCTGATAATTCGGAGCAAAGAACCCTCCCCTGACCTAGTGTGCCAATGCAGCTGCCCAACAATAGGACTAGGTAAGTTAAAATACTGCAAAGCTTGATATTCTCACTTAGATTCTGCTGTTTTTCTTTAGTAAATGCTAAATGATATGCTGCAGGACTTTGTAATTTCCAGAGCTCTGAAAACACTGATTCTGGCAGTGATTTTCGCCACTTTCTCCTTGTATGAAAGGGCAAATTTACAAAGTCTCTACAGCACCATTTAACTGACATCACTATTTCTTTTTTAAATGTTATTTTATTGCAAAACAATATCAAAACAAAATTAGAATTTTAATGAAAAATTAATTTTACATAACTAAGTGAACACCCCATAATTAAATCCAAGTGAAAAACTGCCCCTCATCTCATCCCAATTTATTTTCATTTGTCCATGTTACTATCTACTCTTCATCTATACACATAAGATTTTTACATTTTTTGTAGTAATATGACAAATAGGATTTACGTTCATTTTAAGTACGTCTGTTTTCTACTTTTCTAGTACCTCTTACTGCTCATGCCCTACAAGAAGTGTTAATGCGAACAGTTCAGTGTGTCCTTCCTCCGCTTTCTCCTCGCCCCTTCAAAAATATCCTGCCACATTCACACACAAATAGGAGTCTCTTTCTGCTATGATTTAGACTTTTCTATACAGCCTTCTTTTTTCACTTAACAAATTATGGATGTCTTTCTAGGCCAAGAGACAGATTTAAGGCAGGCTAGTTAAAGCTGATTAATAGTCTGGATACTGATCAAATACCTCCCCCACATAAACACTTTCCTACGTAACTTTACTGCTGTTACTTCTAGAAGATTCCCAAAAGATTGCTAGGTTAACGGTCACGGTCACGCACATTTAAAATTTTAATAGCTATTCCCGGAATACTTTCACAAAAACTTCTCTTACAATTCACATTTCCCTCCGCAGAGCAGGAGAGTGTGCCTAGGGCCTTAAACATTCGTTCGCTCTTTATTAGGCAGGGATGAGTTAGAGATATATCTGCTTTCAAAAAACTGATAAAAAATCTGACACGCCTCATTTCGTTTAAAGTGAGGGATTCACTGCACGTACTTTAGATAAGTAACATTAAAGCCCGTTTCGAAACTCGGAGCGATTGTTTTCACCCGGCTGGGACCCAGGTTTGCCGTCGAGGGCGCGCGGCTGTGACTTCACGACCTCTGAGCGGGGTCAGCAGCTGGCGGACATCCGGGCGCTCCGCCGACGCGCGCGCAGGGTCCCGCCGCTCGCGGATAGCCGGCCCCAAACGCCCGGCGCACGCGAGGGAGCTGCGCACGCCCCCGCCGTCGGCACCTCACCCCGTAGGTGAAGGCGCGTGCGGAAGAGCGAAGCGCTGCCCCGGGGGAAGTGACTTCTTTCAGGCGCTCAGGGCACCGCTTTTAGGTGCTCTGGCGGCTTCCGACAAGACGGAGGATCTCTCGGTCAGACCGCGCACAGCTGGGGCGCTGAGGCCGCAAGGCCCCTCGCCTCTCAGCGGCGGGCTGGTGGGCGTGGCGTCGCCTCACGAGTTCAGTTTTTCGTCGGCCCTGGAAAGCTTTCAGTTTCGTTTCCAGCCGACGCCCTCAGCCCTCGGGAGCTGGAGCTTCGGGGCCAGCTCTCCTTGGCCGCCGCCGGCGTCCAGCCTGCCGCGTTTCGACCCCACCGCGGCGGCCATGACGCAGGTGACCGACGTCGCTGAGGTGGCCCAGGTGCTGTGCGCGGCCGGGGGCGCCTTGGAGCTGGAGGAGCTGCGGCGCCGCTTGCCGCGGGGCGTCGACGCGGACGCGCTGGAGCGGCTGCTGAGGGAGCAGGGGCGCTTCGTGGTGGTGCCGCGGGCCGGCGCGGGCGGCGCGGGGGCCGTCCAGCGCGTGGTTCTGGCCGCCTCGGCGCTGCGACTCTGCCGCGCGCACCAGAGCGCCAAGCAGGGCTGCATGGGGCTCTGCGCGCAGCTGCACCTCTGCAAGTTCCTGGTCTACGGGGCCTGCAAGTTCTCGGCGGCCGGGTAAGGCTCCCGCGGGCCCGGCCGGCCGCTGGGAGAGGGGGCGGGGCGGGGGGCGGCGGTGGCTCGCGTCCCAGCCGGTTTGGGGCGCTTCTTAAAGTCTGAGGAGACTGTTAGGTGGCCGTTCCCACATGATTCCCCTCCGCGAACCCTTACCGGGCACTTCCTGAATACCTAGCATTCTCTGAGGTCCTCAGGGTCGGGCGGTGTACCCCGGGCTTCCGAAATCCCGGACTGAGGGGCGCGGTACGGGGCGGGACACCCTGGGGGTGGCGGCTCGGGGGTGGGGAGGAGGGGAGCGGCGGCCCGGGCTCCGGGAGGGCCCTTCCGAAGAAAAGGGGCTCCACCTCGCTTCTTCCACCACACCCTGGTCTCCAGAGCTAGCTTTGAGGCCACCCAGCCCAGGGGTCCCCTAGGACAAGCCGGCCGTGGCTTGTGTTGCGTTTGGAATAAAATGAAAACTGCTCACTGTCATCCACGAGACCCCTAGGGACCTGGTCCCTGCTGTCCTCTAGCTCCGCCCCACTTGGTGCCCTTAGGTTCCTGGAACATTCCCAGCCTTTGCTCATTGGGTGGCCTTTGCTCTACCTGGAATGCCTTGCCTGGTCGGGCCAGTGAATCCTTCCGGCTTCAAAGTCACTTTCCTTTTGAACCCTTTCCTTCTTCTCCGTCACAGTGTTAGGGTTACTTCACTCGTAGCCCCCCCCCCGTTGCCTCCATTAGTATGTAAACGCTGTGGGGACAGAGGCCCTGCTGTCTTGGCCCTGGCTGCCTGTCCCCCCACCGCCCGACCTGCACTCAGCTCTATGCACTGCACACAGCCAGCGCTCAGAGATTTGTGGAGTGGATTAATGAGGTTTATGATAAAGAATTTGGACCTCACCCTGAAGGTGATAGTGGCCAGTCAAATGGCAGAAGAGAGCAGATATCAGGTCTGCATTTTAGGAAGTTACATTAGTGGTGTGGATGGTGATTTACAGGAGGATGTGATGGGCACCTGTTTGGAAGCTAGTCCAGTTACTGAGAAGAGTTCGTCACTTTCTTTTGTTTTTTTCTTCTTTTTTTTTTTTTTCTTCTTAACACAGTAGACATTATTTTTTGCTCATAGGCCTACTAGTATGGGATAGGCATCTTGATCCGTGCAGTCATTTAGGGACCCACTGTGGCTGACCAAGGCTTTGCCCTCCCCAGCCCATGGCTCTAAGGCCTTTCTGGGTATCAGGTTCCAGAGAGCAGGTGAAGTTGCACAGTAGAGGTTCCTATGGTCCAGGTCTGGAAGCAGTAGAAGATGGTCTTCCACTCATTTGTCCTGGACCACAGGATGTCTCGTGACCCTGCCTAGATGCAAGGCAGGGTGGGAAATAAAGTCCTAGGGAAGCAGCTGCCCAGAAATACCTAGATTAGGCTATCCCAAGGCCCCAATAACTTCTTAAGAGGAAGGCATGTATGTGTGAGAAATTGGGAAGAGACGGGGTTGGGAGTATGGTGACAAGATTTGAGAGAGGTAATGACTCAGCTTTCTTATTGTTGGCCTGGAGATGACTCTTGCTTTTCTTTCTCATTGTCTGAGAGAGCAGGAGAGGATTTTGTTTTGGAGAGTGCCCAGGGGTCAGCTCTCCAAGTCTGAAGCCTGGGAGGACAGCCAGGGCCCTGAGGTGCAGGTTTAGGGGTTCATGGGCTGTTCATATATCATGGCTGCAGTCCCTGGAGTGAGTCAGTTTCAGGTGGAGGCTGAGGGTGAAACTCTGGGGAAATTGGGCCTGCGAGGACTGGTAGAGAAGAGGCACCTCAGGGAAGAATGAGGAGAAGCAGCCAGAGGGGAAGGCAGACAGTAAATGGGGAATGGGTGGTTCTAATAAAGGGGATAACTGGTGGATCTTAATGTCTTCATTTGTCAAAATAAAGCTGGCAGCCCTTTTCTTAGGCTAGCCCTCAAAATTTGGGGTCAGGTTTTATTTGTCTTGGAGATCTAGACATCTGGTATTTACTGGCCCAGATGATTCTGAGCTTTCATCTTCATTCTTCATCTTTCCCTTTTTCTTGGGGTTCACAAAAGTTTCTTGAACTCTCCATTTCTGACTTCCTAGGTCACATAAGGGAGAGTGGGTGTGGTCAACTGTGCTTTCTATGCTTTTCCTACGACTCTGCTTGTCTTTCTGAACCACAGGGTCAGCTGTTTCAGAAATCTCTCATCACTCATATGTTCGCTCATTGGTGACAGTTGGGGAGGGTCCCAGGTCACTGACTTCCATCCTGTGCTCAGGAGGCAGTGAGCATAGTGGTCAAGAGCACAGCCCCAAGACGAGCCTGCCTTGTTCAACCCTGGCTCTTTTTCTTGCTAGCCGGGTGATCTTCAGCAGGTTTCTTTATATCCAAGCCTCAGTTCCTTCATCTGAGGGAGTAGAATAGTAATATTACCCACCTCATAGGGTTGTTGAGGACTGAATAAATTAACTCATAAAATGTTTAGGCAGTCTCTGGCTTGAGGTAAATGCTCAACACATTTGGCAGCTGATGTCATTACCGTCCTCCTCATTATTAGATATATTTGGCTCTGCAGCACCAAGTTATTAGCCCCTTTGCCTAGAATGTTTTCCTTTCCTTGCCTGGTTCCTCAACCCTAAGTATTTGGCACAGGCTTTACACCTTCCAGACACTCTCCCTTGACTGCATCTGTAATTCTGGCAGGCTCAGGTGTCCCTCCTTTCCATGCTGATGTGTTCTGAGCCCAGCTGACCTTGCACCTCCCTGGCCATTTTAGACCCATTTCTGTCTGCCACTTCCACAGAGGAGAGGAGAGGAGAGGAGTCAGGATGACTCCAAGGTTTTTGGCCTGTGCAATGGGAGAGGGAAGTTGCCTTTTACCGAAATGGGGAGGTGTGGGTTTGGGGGAGTTGGTAAGGTGTTCTGTTTTCTTTTGAGATGCATATAATAAATAAACATGGCCTATGAGGTATGAGAGTGTCTGAACCAAGCTAATGTTATTTGCCTGACGTCTGGATCCTGGTGACCTGGGCCATCATTTCAAGGCTTATCTTTGGATCATCAGGGCATGGCCCAGTGCAGGGATCTCACTGAGTATTCAACAGGGGCTTGTTGATGGGAAGAACAAAGGAATGGAGCAGAGAAAAGGCCTGGGCCTCGGGCTTGTGTGTGTTTGTGTATAATAAACCTGTAACCACAAGCTGTCCTTACTCATTTATTCAACCAATGTTAAAATGTCATGACTGGTATGCTGTGACTCTTCTTTGGGGAATGGTTCTGTCATTGTCATCAGGTACTTGCTGAGAGGTGCTGTCCTGGGACCTAGAACTCGCAAGTTACTGTCTCTGCCTTTGTAAATAAGCATTAAGTTTTCTGTTACACAGACATGCTGGCTTTTCTCTGGTGTTACTAAAAAATGTCAGGGACTGACATTCCTGATAGATTGTCTTAAAAACTCATTTTACTGGCTGTGTTTGTTTGCTTGTGTTGCCATAACAAGGTACCACAGACTGGGAGGCTTAAACAATAGAAACTTATTTTCTCCTAATTCTCGAAAATGGAAGTCCAAAGCCAAGGTGTCAGCAGGGTTGATTTCTTTTGTGGTTTCTCTTGGCTTGTAGATGGGCATCTTTTCCCTGTCTTCCCATGGTCTTCCTTCTGTCCTAATTTCTTATAAGGACACTAATTAGATTGGATTAGTGGCCCCCTCCCTCGACCTTATTTTAACTTAATTACCTCTTCAAAGACTCTCTAAAAATAGTTATTTCTAAGGTTCTGGGGTTAGGACATCAACACAAGAATTTTGGAGAGTTGCAGTTCAGCTATAACACCAGCTCTGCTTCTTTGCAGGAAGAACTGTAGGAAGAGTCACAGCTTGACTACTGATCACAACCTCAGTGTATTGAGATTTCATGGCGTCGACCATCTCAGCTACAGTGAGCTCTGCCAGCTCTTGTGTCAAAACGACCCCTGGCTTTTGCCGGAGGTGAGTTCTGGGAGAGAGTGTGTGTGTGTGTACAAGGAATCACATAATCAGGGGGAGAGGCCATAAGTTTGGAAGATGGGAAATACTATGGCAGATGAGAAGCCTAGGACAAGCCAAGGACCCTATTGTGACTACTACGGTCTGTCTGAAGGAGATCTGGATTGAATTCCCAGCTCTGTTGAATTTTAGACCTGTGACCTTGGGCCACCCTTGCCCCTTGAAGCCTCCCTTCTGTGTCAGTTGAGCTGGTACCTCCTTTACAGGGTTTTTGTGGGTTTGGGGAGCCTGTATGGTCAGTGGTTGCAGCAAGATGTTATTTACACAGAGCTGAGAGACTACAGCCAGCCCCTCCCTGTCTAGCAGGACTTGAAACCACGCAGGTATCGCTGGATCCGGGAGGTCTGTGGGGAAGCTTTCCAGAGCTATTGACAGGCAGATGATGCTCTTTCTACCAATTCAGTCACACCCAAGGATTTTATTTGGTATGGATTATCATATGCATTTCAGACATTAATCACTTGAAAGC